TAGCATGACTGTTCAAGCTTAAAAGTAGAAAGGTTGCACCTGGGTTACCTGGGCTATTAATGAAGATGTAATTGTCTAGGTCTTAAGATCATAATTGCTGATTGTAAGATTTTAGCAACCGCTTAGCAACCATATATCTCTTCCCCCTCCCGATTTTGCGGTTTTGCCTTTATAAACCCTATGCTGTAGTTCCTCGCTGCTCCTCGTTCTATATGTTCAGAGAGCCCAACATGTTGGATCAATAAATCTTTAACCCTTTGCTGGTTGCATGAGAGAAAAGTCTCTTGGCGTCGTTTTTCGGGCGGTGGGCGTTTTTCAGACCCTAACAGTCTCAACTGTTGAGGAACGGGTTTTTTTTTTTTTTTTTTTTTTTTTTCCCATACCATTTGTTGAACTCTTTACTTAGTATAATCTTATGTGTATAAGTAATTGAAAATAGATCTTAGTAAAACTAAAAAACTGTGAATAGGAGAGGGAGGAGCAAGAAGGGTGGGAATACGAATGGGAAGATGGGTAGGGTAGGAAGAATCACTGTGTTCCTAAAGTTGTATTTTATGAAATGCATGTAGTTTTTATGCCTTAAATAAAATGTTGCTGGGGGAAAATATTTAAATAAAAATAAAAATTGTTTATCATCACTTACAAAAACATCTTGAACTTGATGTAACTTATGCTGAGAAATAGGTTGCATTTTACTTTTATCTTTAATTCTATTTCCATGAACTTTTTGAAGTCTTCTCATAAATGTACATAAATATATGAAATAATTATACAGCTACATAATGTGGGTGTATGTGTGTGTGTATAAACTAAACATACGTATAATCAAATAGCCACATACCTGGTCTGGTATTGTATCTGATCCAGTGAATAAGTTCTTCCTGAGGCAAATTATTAAATTCTCCTATTATGCTCCATTGATTATGGAGGTTGCACAACCTTGTAATGACATCACTGTTAAAATGCCAAAGATAACATTCTCAAACGAATTCTGCAAAAAAGCCAGCCAAAGAGCTGAAATGAAAGAAACCACTTATTATAATTCTTATATAAAATCATAAAATTGAGTCAATAAAAAATTGAGTCAATAATAAATTTGCACCTATAGAGTCAAAAATTCTCATTTTACAGTTTTAAACCAAATGATTGCCCTTTGTTATCAGTACACAAATACACAGAACTCCTATCTGTTGTTTAAAAACAACAAATATGTTGGAATTTCAGGGCCTGGTTGAAAATCGAACTTTCCTCTTGAAAGAATTTGGGAGAGAATATCTGATCATAGTATTGATTTACTGCCAGGAATCAAGGTTAGTGAAAGAATTTTGAAACATCTTAGAATGAAGTCCCCTTAATATCTGGCTGTCTTCATGAAAATCTCGAATCACTAGGAAAGCCCATTAGCATTGACACATAACCCTCTTCTTAGATAAACAGACATTATGGTATTGTAAAGCAGTACACTCACACTCAAAACTAAATAAGGTGTTTCTACACGGGCCTTTATCCCAACATGCTAGGTATTTTATCTTGCTACTTTAATGTTAGATACAATTAGGAAACTCCAGAACGGACAGATTTTCTTGGGGATTCTCTAATCCAAACAGGAATGTACTAGAGCAATTATTTTGCATGCAATCAGTTTTTTTTTTTTTTTTTTTTTTTTTTTTTTTTTGGACAGGCAGAGTGGACAGTGAGAGAGAGAGACAGAGAGAAAGGTCTTCCTTTTGCCGTTGGTTCACCCTCCAATGGCCGCCGCGGCCGGCACACTGCGGCCGGCGCACCGCGCTGATCCGATGGCAGGAGCCAGGTGCTTTTCCTGGTCTCCCATGGGGTGCAGGGCCCAAGCACCTGGGCCATCCTCCACTGCACTCCCTGGCCACAGCAGAGGGCTGGCCTGGAAGAGGGGCAACCAGGACAGAATCCGGCGCCCCGACCGGGACTAGAACCCGGTGTGCCGGCGCCGCTAGGCGGAGGATTAGCCTAGTGAGCCGCGGCGCCGGCCCCAATGCAATCAGTTTTTGATAAGTACTTTGGGGTAGATGCGATGGGCCAGAAAACTTTTACAAACCCAAACTCCGAAAGATTGTGAATAAGATACCAACCAAGGGGAAAGAGAGAGCCTCATCCCACTTGTCATGGAATTATCAGTTAAAGTCTAGGAGTAATTTTCTGATACTTGAAGTTTTTCTTACTCTACAGTGAGTCATGAACTAATACTCTACATCCTTTAAGTTAGATACAACACTTGGTGTTTTTATGTTTCAGATCATTCAGCAAAGCCATGGTATCTGTAGCTGCTCCAGTTATTATAGTGCACTATCCAAAAATTAATCCCTTACCCGTCGTGAGCAGAGCAAGGAAGCCATAATACACATGTGTGGTGTCAAAAACAGCTTCAGCCTCATAATTAAAACGGCAAGGCCAGTAAATGCCAACAACTGCAGTGCATGAAAAATCAGCTATAAAAACACAAATAAAACAAAATGACATTTTTGCTTTCTATGTTTTAAAATTAATAAACAAATCACCTTTAAACTATTATTCATTCAGACACAGATCTTCTAACTTCATGACAAATCTATTACTACTTATTCATTCATTCAGCAAAGATTTCACAAACGCATGAAACTCATAGATGCCAGGCTCTGTGTGTTGAGGATACAACAGTCGCTGCTATCTTCCCTTGTGAGGCTGGCACTTCAGTTTATTTGATAAAGAGAGTCAGATGGTAAATATACATCACAAATAAATCAATCCATGAAAGTACAATGGGCAGGAAAATGGGGCAGGAAAAGAAGCCATAGGGTGCAGGATATGGGATGCCACCGCAGCTGGGAAGAGCAGGTGTTATGTACAAGGATTTGTGCAAAGTGAGAGGAGAGCAATGGACACGAGACACATGGGATGCTTTTCCCAAGTGTGTGTGCCATTCAGTCAACAAGAGAAACCACAGAACAACATAAACTATATCATTTTTAAAGTAGTAGTAGTATTAAGTCTTTGTACTAATTAATAGGATACCCTACTTTGATCAAGGTGGGTCTCCAATGAGCAAGTCAAGCAAAACTTTTATAACAGAAATATATAAAATGTCAACTTCTCACTAGAACACGGATATGAAAATGGGCAAATAATGCAACAAAAAGCATATGACAAGTATATATGTTCTAATTCACTTACATTCAAAGAAATGTCAAAGATAATGAGATTTCATCTACCAAACTGATATTAATAGATTGTTAGAATGCAATGAAACAAACACTGAAAGAATAGCTCAATACAGGGGGCTGGCGTTGTGGCGCAGCGGGTTAAAGCCTTGGCCTGCAGTGCCAGCATCCCATATGGGTGCTGGTTCTAGTACCAGCTGCTCCTCTTCTGATTCAGCTCTCTGCTATGACCTGGGAAAGCAGTGGAAGATGGCCCAAGTGCTTGGGCCCTTGCACCCACATGGGAGACCAGAAGAAGCTCCTGGCTCCTGGCTTTGGATTGGCGCAGCTCTGGCCATTGTGGCCATCTGGAGAGTGAACCAGTGGATGGAAGATCTCTCTCTTTCTCTACCTCTCTCAGTAACTCTTTCAAATTAATAAAATAAATCTTTAATAAAAAAATCAATACATTTTTTTAATTTAAAAAAATGTTTATTGGGGCCAGTGCTGTGGCATAGCGGGTAAAGCTGCCGTCTGCAGTGCTGGCATCCCATATGAGCACTAGTTGGAGTCCTGGCTGCTCCACATCCGATCCAGCTCTCTGCTGTGGCCTGGGAAAGCAGTAGAAGATGGCCCAGGTGCTTAGGCCCCCGCACCCATGTGGGAGGCCAGGAGAAAGCTCCAGGCTCCTGGCTTTGGATCAGCACAGTTCCAGCTGTTGCAGCCAATTGGGGAGTAAACCAGCAGATGGCAGCTCTCTCTCTCTCTGCCTCTCCTTCTCTCTGTGTGTAACTCTTTCAAATAAATAAATAAATATTTTTAAAAATGTTTATTGAGGGCCTAAAAAAGTGCCAATACCATTGACTTAATTTCCATTCCAGGAATTAAGGGAATAATAAAAATGCAAAGATGATGACTGAATGTAGGAAACAACCTAAGTGGTCAATAAAGTGGAATTAGCAACTAAATCACTACTGTTCCCCAAGTACACAGTCATTAAACGTGATATGTAATGGCATGGAAGAGCTTTCAGGGTGTAAGACTGTACACACAGAATCCTAATAATTCTATGAAAAACGTCTACGTGAGGCTGACAGACTAAGCCACCTCTTTCAACACTGGCCTCCCATACTGGAGGGTCAGTTTGGCTAGAGTCCCAGCTGTTGTGCTTCTGTTTAATCTCCCTGCTAATGCACCTGGGAAAGCAACAGTACGTGGTCCAGTACTTGGGCCCCTGCCCCCAACGAGGGAGAGACCTGGATGGAGTTCTAGGCTCCTGGCCTCAGCATGGCCGTTGTGGCCATTTGGCGATTGAACCAGTGGATGGAAGATCTCTCCCTTTCTCTGTCTCTCCCTGTCACTCTGCTTTTCAAATAAATATAAATTAGAAAAAAAGTCTATGCACATATATGTACATGTCCAGAGCTGGTGGGGAGGAGGGTACTGTAAGAAAACAACCAAAAGTTAACAGCAGGTACTTTAGAGTATTAATTTTTCTGTCTTTTTGCAATTTTCAAATGTTATATTTTACTCAGAAATACATAGTTTATATTTAAAATAGAATGGCAAAAGCTGGACCCAAAATGTTTAAATTCTTTTTCATATTTATTGGACACAATGTTGGAATGGGGGAAACTTAATTTCAAAATCAATTCTTTATTTTTCTTTAACCAAACTCATCTTTGGGCATGATTAATTGTGGACACGTTGTGGAGAGAATGAGAAACACCAACCTCATTTCATTTCTAAATAAGTCCTTTTGTTTCAAACCACTAAAGCACAGATTGGTAGATTGCAGAAGCCGTCGATTTTAATCACCTATCCACAACAGGCATCTCTTCTACAGATCCACAGACATTCCATATCAGAGTGCCTGAGTTGAGTCTCCCCTCCTCTTTCCATTCCAGCAGCTGTGATGGCTCAAGTACTTGGGCCCCTACCACCTACATAGGTGACCCAGACTAAGTTCCCAGCTCCTGGCTTCAGCCTTGCTGGGGGCATTTAGAGAGTACAACAGCAGCTGGAAGATCAATCTGTCTCTGTCTCCGTTTATCTTTCAAATAAAATGAAAATTTAAAAAAATTAAAGGTACTAATTTGATAAAATATAGGCAAATACACTCTACAGGAGAAAAAAATAGTAACAAGATCCTTTCAGCTAAGGAACCACCAGTATCACAACAATAGGGAGGTAACTCAGGGTCTGTTTAGTGAGCTGAGGGACACAGCCTATTAGTGATTCAGAGCACCGGTGGAGAATTACCCTAACAAATCCTCACCTAGCTGAAACACTGGGGAAGATGAATTCTTTCGTTTTCATCACATATTCAGTGAGCAGTGCCCCGGCCTCCACCCAGGTCTTAGGCCTCTGCAGCCTTTCATCTCTAAAGCGACAACAGTCCCTGTCCTCAAATAGTAGGGAGACATTCACCAAGGGAGTCCTGGGTCGCAGAGGGGTGAAAAGTCGGCCTCACATCCCACGGACAGAAAACTCCTCATGGACCCTCAAAATGTGCCATCCCTTCCAGAAAAATCTGCTCTCTTTAAAAAGGTAAACCTCTCACCTGCCTACACACCAGGCATTTGAAGACTAACGGGTTGTCAGCACTGACTTCCTGCCAGTGGGCTTCCCTGCCATTGTGTCATTGTAAAAAGCCAGCTGGGCTTCCCTCCACAGACCTAGAGCACATATTCACAACTCAGGCCGCCTGTGTCACCTCCTGGTTAACCAGAAAGTCCAGAATGGAGTCCAGACTCCTTGTGTACAAGGCCTCCATAGTCTGAGCCCTGCCTACTTTTCCAGGCCCTCTTCTTGCTACTTTTTACCTTTTTTTTGCATCAGCAATACTGATTCGACTGTACTCTGAACATAACATGCAACCTTATGCTTTCTTTGCACATGTACAGCTTCTGACTTTCGTAAATGCTATGCTTATTTTTCTTGGAAAGTTACTTCAAAAAATCTTTCCTATCCATACCACCTCTTCCATATAATCATTTCTTCTTCTGTACCACCTTTGTGTTGACTTTATCACTGCATATATAATTACCTTCCCCGACACTGTAAATTGCTTAAAGTGGGGACTTGGTATACATGAAGCACATAATAAAGACTAAATTGGTATGCATGTAAAACTGATAGAGGGGCAGTGGTTTTGCCTAGTGGTTAAAATGACAGGGTGTCCACATCCTGCATCAGACTGCCTGTTGGATGACTGGCTCTGGGTGCTGACTCCAGCTTTCTGCAGATGCGGACTTGGAGGCAGTGGGGATGGCTCAAGAAACTATGTTTCTGACAGCCATGTGGCAAATCTGTGTTGGGACTGGCTCCTGGCTTCCGCCTTGGCCTAGTGTGGGTCGTTGTGGTTAGCTGGGGAGTCACCCCATGAATGCAGGCTCTCTCTGTAGTAAGTTAGCTGTGGAATCTCCAAACGCTGCTCAGTTTCCCTGAGTCCCTCAGTTCCAGGCAGAGCCCCCTTTTCTTTTCTTCTTAGACACACAGCTGGACCAGCTTCCAGCCTTCCTGCCAGCTGCATGCCCGGGCCCAGAGTGCAGGCTGAGGGCGGGCAGGGATTGCACCTCTCCCAGGCCTCGCCGTACAGACCTCCCTGTGGACAAGGTCACGTTCCCTCTCTGCAGGCTTGACACAGGCAAGCAGCGCAGCCCTGGGAACCATGTGTTGACGATGGCAGAGCCAGGGAGAGAAGGCATCTGGGTCCCTCAATCAGGATGGTCACAGAGCCACCTGCTAATCAGGAACTCCTGGTTGTAACTTTATGTATGCAAAGGATTGACTCCTACTGAGTTAAGTCATTGCAATGTTGGTATTTAATGTAATTAATGTAATTTCCCTCTTTACAAATGGGAATATTATGAGAATTAAACAGCACAGTGCGAGGCATGTAGCAACTACTCACAAAAACGTATTATAAGATATTCCTATAAGATTTAAATTCAGTTGCCTTCTCTTATACATTTAGTATTTCCCTTAACAAACCAGATACAGAAAGACAAATACTGCATGCTCTCCCTCTTATATGGGAGCTTGAAAAAAAATAGCCTCAATATGAACACAGAATGTAATTACTAGAGTCCAGGAGGAGTGGGAAAGATTAAAAAAAAAAACTTAGGGGAAGCTGGGTGTGGTTTATTAACTGTGACAATTAGACTAATATGATGTTAGTAACAGAGTGGCTGTAGGGTATATAGGGACTCTTCGTACTACTACTTCACAATTTTTACTTAGAAAATTTAAAACTATTTTGGAATATAATGTTAAAAAAAGACAACTTAAAGTCATTTAATTTAGGAAATCATCTTCTCAGTCTATACTGCCCACTTTCCCTTTCTATGCCACAAAATAATTTAGCACTACTTGAATGTGGCTTTGCTAACGTCTCCTTTGTAAAATGGCAAACACTTCAGGGCAGGAGTATTACTATACGACCTTATACATCCTGTAACGCGGCTGAGTTTGTAGCCAGCTGGCCATGGAGCCTACACGGTGGCAGAAGGCCTTCAGTCACAGGCCGGGGGGGCTGCCCTGATGGGCTCTAGCTGACTAGCTCAGCAGGCAGGCTGGAAACAAAACACTCCTCACTGTGGAATGAGAGAATGAATGAATGAATGCAATTCATTATGGTCCATGGTCATCAATCAACCCACTGGCCTTCAGATTCTATTACTACTCCAAAGTGAGAGCAAATTAAGGAATGGAAAGATCAGCAGAAATTCATCACCAGTGCTGAGCATTCAAGCACCACCTGCCTCGGCAGCAAGGCCATCCCTCTGTGAATTATCCTTAACTAGAATTTAATACACACGTCGACTCGAGATTAAAATGAAAGCTTTACCTCACCATGCTCAAGGAGCTGTTTTCTGGAATTAAACAAAAAACAGAAAATTACCTATTTACTGAATGTCCATTACACGATAATTACCTAACAGTAAGTTTAATTTATTCTTTGATTTTATAAAATTTGATTCCCTTAAACTACTTGAGTATAAGTATAAAAATAAAAAGGATTAAATAATACTACTAAAAATTACAGTAAATTTAAAAGGCATAATTTACAGTCATCCTATTTAAGGTTAAGATAAAATGGGTTTTACTGATCCCTGGAGAGTGAGCCTCTGGAAGTATAAATGAATAGAAACATCTTTTTATTACATATTCAACTTACATATGACATATACTTTAGACAACCATTACTGGACTTTTGAATTGTTTCCATTTTTCACAATTATAAACAATGTGAACATCCTTGTATATAAAATTTTGTGAGCATCTCTGACTATTTCCTTAGAATAAATTTCTAGAAGAAAGACTACTGGATAAAAAAATACTTTTAGTTCCAGAAAAATTTTTCCAATCCACTAAATATTTATGGTATACATACTGTGTTCTAGGCATTGTGCAGAGAATACAGTGGCAATAGTACAGATGACATTCTTACCATTCTTATCCTCACAGAGTTTACATTAGGTTAACACAAGAGGTAAGAAAATACCTATTTTGGGATCAGCGCTGTAGCACAGTGGGTTAAAGAACCAGTCTGCAACGCTGGCATCCCATATGGGTGCTGGTTCTAGTCCCGGCTGCTCCACTTCCAATACAACTCTCTGCCGTGGCCTGGGAAAGCAGTAGAAGATGGCCGAAGTTCCATTGAAAAGGCTGGATGTCTGACTTTTATAAAGGGCTCTACAAGATGCTGGGGCCTTCCAACAAGGACTGGGGGATTGCAAAGAGAAACAAGACAGAGTTCAAAGGAACTCAGATCCACAGATCATAAAAAGGGTGGTTGGGGGAAGGTTTCTCACTGCCTTCACTGCGGCTCCCTCCCCCCAGTGGGGTCAAGGGAAAGGATTCCCCACTTTTCTCCAAATCTCCCAGTCACAACAGAAGCTTGTGCTGGGATGCTAAGCCAGGGAGAGGTCTAACTATAATAATCAACAAGAACCCCGACCACAGTATTGATGCAAATAATCTAGTAACTAATTTAAAATATGAATATTTAAGGCACAAATAGAATGAAACAGAAACAGCAAGATGAATGAGACAAAAAATCCTCTTCGGAAACAGAGCTAATACAAGAGATGAAAGAGTGTATCAAGTGAAAATGCCCACTACTATCTTCAGAGAACTCTGAGAATGTACTGCATTCATATAATTAGAGCAAGCTGCAATGACACGGAGCATTCAGAAACCCTGGGGGAAAAACACAACGTTTTCCTTCTTTAAAACTTCAAAAAAGGCTAAGTAAGAAAAATGTACACAGCTTAAGTTGGTCATGTTGAAAACTCAGTCACAGAATTCCCCTAGAACACAGAGAAAAAAGAAAGAGGGGGTGGTGGCTGGACACATGTGTGCTGCAAATCAGGAGTCAAACAGCTCTCTGGAAACCAGCAGTGACAGGTCAGCAAACACTATCAACGCTTTTCTACTGCAAGAGAAAAAGTAGACACTTTAAAATCCATATGAAAGAACCTCAAGAAGACTCATAGGGAAGAAAAACTAGAAAACTTGACTAAAATGGAAGAATTAGAACAGCAGCAGCAATAACAAACACATAGCTGCTACTTCTGTCAGCAACTCTAAGTAGTCTGCATGCACTGACTCTCATATCTGTGACCCTCGGAGGCCAGTGTGACCACCTCCACTAATGGGTGCTGAGGCTGTGGCCCAGAGGGGTTAAGAGACTTGCCCACACCATTAAGTAGAGCTATCCAAGAATCCCGGATTGCAGAAGCAATCCTGTAAAGAGTAAACCCTTGTTTAATAAATCAGAGGCAAATCCAAAGGGCTATGATAGGTGCCTGGGGAAGAGAGGCCTCCTGAGCACAGTTATCCCAGTCTAAGAAACATGACAAACCGTAAAATAAAGGAAGAGGAACAAAACCGTGTTGTTCTGGCTCAGAAACAAATAGATCAATTCAAGAGAGAATCTGAGACAGTCTCAAGTGCCTATCAGAATCAACTAGTAAGTGATAAGAGCAGGCATTTCAAATGGCAGCAAAAAGATTAGGTGATATTGTGCTGGGATGAGAAAAAAGAATCCTAGATGTCACCTCAGTACCAAATCAATGCAAGAGACATTAATGATCGCTATCTACAACAGGAATTACTAAAGTATGGAGAATATTTTAATGTTTTTTAATGTAAGGAAACTTTCTATGCAACACAGAAAACAGAAAATGGATAGTTGTGGTTATTCAGAGATTTTAAAGTTCTATAAAGCGCAAACCATAAATAAACTATAAATTGACATCCTGGAAAAAATTATGTGATACACACAATAGACAAAAGGTTACTGTCTATTAAAAAAAACACAAACCACCACAAATCAATTTTTAAAAGGTCAAGAAGAAATATAGTCAACAGACATAAGAAAAGATGCAAAACTTCACTGATAAGACTTATAAAATAAGTTATTCCTTTTTTTCTATCACAAAAATTTTAAAGTTTGATAAAATTGATGTTTACAGAGATGCAGGGAAATGGATACTTTCATCATTGCAATTTCTTAGAGTTTGTCAAATTAAAAAATATGCTTCTAGCAGACCCATTTCAAATATTCCAAGCTACAGAAATTCTGGATAAAGGGTGAAAAGTTGTATACAAAGATGTTCACTACTATAACATCAGTTGTTATCACAAAGTTAAATGTATTCCAAACATCTACTTACATAGTTATGGCTAAATCCCTGGTACTCACCCATGAAGGCAATCAATAAGATGCTTGACCATCAAAAAGAATAAGGGAGATCTAGACGTGTGCCCCAGACACACTGTTACACAAAAGAACAGGCTGCATAACAATGAGTTCTAGACTCCGTTTTTAATAACTGTTTCTATATGTGTTTCCTAGAATGACGTATCCAAATCTGCTTGCAGTAAACACCTCTGAGGAACAGATTAAAGGGAGGGCAACGATGCCCCTTTTCTTGATATGCTGCTTTTCCTGAATGTAATACGATAAGCATGTATTATTCCTGTGATTTAAACAATTCCCGTGCCCCCACCTTGGCCCGTCACTTTCAGGTAATGTAATTAGTAAGAAAGATTTCCTTCGTCTGAGCTAATTATCTTCTACCTGTTGGCCCCTCACGTCTGTCTTCTTCCACTTAACACCCTCTCAAATATCTGAAGACAGTCGCCATGTACCCCTCAGTCTCCTAGTATCTAGTTAAGTAATCCTAGTCCCTTTGTGTACTCTTTATGTGAACAGTTTTCAGGGTTCTCATACACTCCTTTTAGAATAACAAGACATATTACCTGGGCTCCTCCTGACCAGAACAAATCACAGCTGGTCTGTACTCTCACTTATTTTGGAAATGATTTCAACAAACACACCTACCGTCTTCATTAGCTCCTCTGACAACCATACAAAACTGGTTAGAAATTCAAGCACGGGGCCAGCACCGCGGCTTATTAGGCTAATCTTCTGCCTGCGGCACCAGCACCCTGGATTCTAGTCCCGGTCGGGGTGCCAGATTCTGTCCCAGTTGCCCCTCTTCCAGGCCAGCTCTCTGCTTTGGCCCAGGAGGGCAGTGGAGGATGGCCCAAGTGCTTGAGCCCCTGCATCTGCATGGGAGACCAGGAGGAAGCACCTGGCTCCTGGCTTCAGATCAGCTCAGCTCCAACCATAGCGGCCATTTGGGGTGTGAACCAGTGGAAGGAAGACCTTTCTATCTCTTTCTCACTGTGTATAACTCTCTCTCTTTCTAACTCTGCCTGGCAAAAAATAAATAAATAAAAATAAAAATAAAAAAAAGGAAATTCAGCATGGGATATGCAGTTCAGGAAACTATACTAGCTTCATAATCTTTCTGTAAATCTGAAACTATTCTTAACAATAAAGGTAATTGACTAGAATCAAATGGCACAATTAAAACCACAAAAGTTAACCTTAGATATGCTTTCTTTTCTTTTTCTTTTTCTCTATTTAATGAATGCGTTTTTACATAGATACAACTCAGGGATCATTTCTATAGTTTGCTACTAGATATGCTTTCCATCAGAAAGCTTTCTTCGCAATTTACTTCCAGTGTGCCAGAACACTTTATATCCGATTTACATGAGTCGTGCAATGTTTTGCTGCTGTAACTCTACTGAGTTTACTAGAACTGCCAAAAAAACGTGATACAACAAACAATTTTAACATAAAAAAATTCTTTCATAATTATTCAGAAAAAAGTGATCTTCTATGAAAGCTTAAAAAATAAAGTATGACCAAAATAAATTTTGAGCTTACTGCTCTTACTGTTGCTAGTTCTAGTGATATATTAAGCTAAATCAAATAAAACTTCAAGTTAGTTCACAGAATAGTAATCTTTTTGAAGAAACATCTAACTTTGGCTCATATCTCCTTTCTTAATTAACCTAAAGCTTAATGTATATGCATTTGAAAAAATTAGTATGATAGTAAGTTAATTAACTGAATAAAATTTGTCTTAAAAACAACTATAATTACCTTAGATAAGTGTTTGTAGATAAGACACATGAGATATCACGAGTAGTCTGTGAACAGAACGAAATCAATAAAGTTCTTTATGGAATGTTACATTTAACATGCTCTGAATAATTCATATAAATACCCGCACTAGAAATAAGTTTCTTTTTTTAATGATAAATGGAATCTTCAGGAACAGTTTAGTCCCAGCTCTACCCTAGGCAAAGAACTTCAAGTTATAACTTCTTCTATTAAAAAACAAACAATGGGGCCAGCGCTGTGGCTCACTAGGCTATTCCTCCCCCTGTGGTGCCAGCACCCCGGGGTTCTAGTCCCTGTTGTGGTGCCGGATTCTGTCCCAGTTTCTCCTCTTCCAGTCCAGCTCTCTGCTGTGGCCCGGGAAGGCAGTGGAGGATGGCCCAGGTCCTTGGGCCCTGCACCCGCATGGGAGACCAGGAGGAAGCAACCTGGCTCCTGACTTCGGATCAGCGCAGGGCACCAGCCGCAACTTGCTGGCTGTGGCGGCCATTTGTGGGGTGAACCAACGGAAAAAGGAAGACCTTTCTCTCTGTCTCTCTCTCTCTCACAGTCTAACTCTGCCTGTCAAAAAAAAAAAAAAAAAAAAAAAAAAAGATGAGGGGCTGGTGCTGTGGTGCAGCGGGTTAACGCCCTGGTCTGAAGTGTCGGCATCCCATATGGGCGCTGGTTCTAGTCCCAGCTGCTCCACTTCTGATCCAGCTCTCTGCTATGGCCTGGGAAAGCAGAAGATGGCCCAAGTCCTTGGGCCCCTGCTCCCACTTGGGAGACCGGGAAGAAGCTCCTGGGATTGGATTGGTGCAGCTCCTGCCGTTGTGGCCATCTGGGGAATGAACCAGTGGTTGGAAGACCTCTCTCTCTGTCTCTACCTCTCTCTGTAACTCTGTCTTTCAAATAAATAAAATAAATCTTTAAAAAAAAATGTTGTTTAAGTAGGTAGATGTTTAAGGTCTACTTAGGTTCTAAAATCCTAAGCTTTAACATGTAGATAACTACTTACTAGTGTTGTAAGTTTATTATTTTACTGGGCAGGGGATCAGATGGGGGCAGGATTCTTTCCTACAGAAAAGGTGGCAGCTTCCTCCAGAGAAATTTTATCTCAGTCTCCCAAATAAATCAGGAACATACTGCAATCCTTATCAAGAACCCAAAAGCCAACAATAAAAATTTTTAAATACCTTCTTAAAGATAAAACAAGTAACCATCATGACAACTGGAAGCAATAATGTCTTTGTGTATCTCAGTGGAGTCTGAAAATACAGAAAATTTTTCGAGTTATTTATTGAAATTTGCCTTAATGTAGTAAAAATTTGTGTCAAACTGAGTGCCATCATGAAATTTTTAGAGGTAAAATGCCTTTATCATTAGCACAGTATATTATTTACTAACTTCTGAATTTTAATGTAAGAAACAAAATTACAAAACTGACATGCAGCATTCAAAAAACTTTTAAAAATTATTAAACTCAGAACTAGGCGTATCTATAACTGTTCCTTTTTTCAGTTTTATTTTTTCTTTGTTTATATAATGCTAGGTTTAAAAATGTGTATTTACTGGTCCCTGAGAACTACACTTTCATTTCCTGTGCTGCTGTTCCATTATTTCACTACTGAAACCAGAGCTGAAAAAGGAGACAGTTAGCCAAAGTCACTACTCAAAGTACCATTCTCAGAACCCGTTATTGTGATAAGGAGTGATTACCATGTAACTGAACTATTTCTTGAAAGCAGGAACTGGCTTATTTTCCTCTGTGTAGTCCTACAACAAACTGCCTAATACATTATCGATGGTCAACAAAAATTTTTAAATTAATGAATAGCTGCCTGGATGGATAAGAGAATAATGTAAAAATTCAATATTAGATTTGCCACTAATTTAGAATTTGTAATTACACAGACTCATCCAGTGACAACTCTTCCATGTTCTGTGAAGAAGAAAGTAGACCACAAACAGAAGAAAGAACACTGAGCCAGGAGCTCTGAGTCCATCAGAACCCATGTCCTACATGGCTCACATGGTACTTAAAGCAAGTCTTTCCAGCAAGTGAAAGACGTGTACTATGCAGTCTCTAAGATCTTATACTGCTCTTGTGGTCCATGATACCACCAAGAGGCAAATGTTTCAAATCTTAGCAACATGAACTTTTTATAAAAGGTAATACCATGCACGGTTGGCGCTGTGGCACAGTGAGTTAAGCTACCTCCTACAACACCAGCAGCCCATATGAGCACTGGTTCCAGTCCTGGCTGCTCCATTTCCCTTCCAGTTCCCTGCTATGTACCTGGGAAAGCAGTAGATGATGGCCCAAGTGCGTGGGTCCCTGCCATCCATGTGGGAGACCCCTTTGGGGAATGAACCAATGGATTGATGGAAGACACATCAATTGATTAACTGATCTCTCTATAATGCTGTCCTTCAAATAAGTAAGTATTTTTAAGAAGATAATAACCATGCATTTATGTAACACAATAATTTCACAGTCATTAACAGTAGTATACCACCTTTATTGGCAACACTTTGTTAAACATGTATTTTAATATTTGGGGTATTAAATGTAATAAAACTGAATTTCTTTTTTAAGATTAATTTATTTATTTGAAAGGCAGAGTTACAGAGACTGGGGAGAGAGAGAGATCTTCCATCTGCTGGTTCACTTCTCAAATGGCTGCAATGGCCATGGCTGGGCCAGGCTGAAGCCAGTAGCCAAGAGATTATTCCAGGTCTCCTATCTGGGTACAGAGGCCCAAATACTTGGTCCATCTTCCACTGCTTTCCCAAGGTCATTAGCAGGGAGCTGGATCAGAAGTGGAACAGGCAGAACTTGAACCAGGGCCCATATGGGATGCAGGCCGTGGCTTTACCCGCTATGCCACAATGCCAGCCCTTAAAACTGAATTTCTTAACAAGAATTTGGATTTTATTTTCCTGAATGGTCCTATTTCTCCAAGTGGCCTAGATTGTTAAAAGTTATTTGTAATAATAATGAATATGGGTCATACATAATGTTAAGCACACTTCCTGAATTTATCTCTTTAAGAAAGACACTATTATTGATTTACAGAAAAGAGTAATAGGTTAGGAAGGACATATGATTAGAAAAATAATAATATAAAATGATACTGTAAGTTATATATTTGACTAAAAAATTTGAATTTCAGATTAAAAAGAAAATACAGGAGCAAAAGTCAATATACCTGTAGGAAGGAAAAAAATATAGAAACATTCATACCGCTTGTTCCATGAAGTCAAATTCAGGCGCACAGGTGTATATTAAAGTATCGAAATCCGTATACCTTAAGATTCTGGCTGCTATGAGGTCGCTTAGGCGAATCTGAAAGAAAATAAAGTGAGTTAAAATTCCATAAATTATTATAGTCAGTAGAACTGATTTGATAAGACTAATATGTTTAATCTATAAAGCTGATATACCCACGCTACATAGATGCCTCTAAAAACTAGATGTTCTGTGTACCTTCTCATCAAGATAACCGAAAATAAAGAGAAATGACAAGTAAGAAGAAGCCAGAAAAAAAATAAGCAAAAAAAAAAAAAGATAAAGAGATAAAAATACTTGCTGAGAAGAAACCACCAGGAAGTTAATCAAGAAATTTTATAATCAGATAATTTATTTTGAAAAAAAGTTTCTTTTCGTAGTTTTACCATATATTATAAACCATAAACATTTTATCTATTATCATTTTCATGAAGCCTCATACATTGTTACAATATTTGGTATGAGAGTACTTCAAGAATTTCATGGAGACTAAAATTGTAAGATAAGTTTATTTTGGTGCAAAAAGCCTGAAACCTGTACATACAAAAAATATTTAAAATATTCATGGAAAATGCATATTATGAAAAAATATGCATGGATTTTCACTTTTGGCACCAATATCATCAGTCTTTTAACTGTAATTTCCCACAAACTTTCTAAAGTACCCACATATATCCATGTCATTTATGACAGCTATTCCTCATAAGAATTATAACACTATCATGATTATTACTTGATCTCTGATTATTTGATCTCAATATTTCTAAACACTTATTTAGAAAAATAAGCAACACCAATCACATCCAATGTAGAACTCCTATTTTATACTGACTGCTTACTACCTACTGTAGATAATTATTTTTCCACTGCATTCTCAGAAGACCAGGGAAAGGAAAATATTTGGCTTGTAAAATCATAATTCAAATTACTTTATAAGGATTGAAATATTTAATGATAAGTTTGATGATTACCATAAGTTTTCATTTATTCACTGTTGCCACCTAACATTTTATGTTCTAATTTAGAGTAAGTCTAGTAACTAAGAATAATTTAACTCAATAATGTAAAGTTTTGTGCACAACTGTCAAATAAAAGTCACTTATGACTACCAAAGGGGTGTGTGTGTTACTTCCCACATTTATAAAGAATTAGGTGATAATGTAAAACAAGAAACAAAAATCACAGACTAACTTAAATAATTTACAAGGTGAGAATAGAGTTTATCAGAAAAATACATGCTCCCACAAAATAAGGATTAAAAACTATATAAAAGGAAAAACAGAAATGTGTCACACATACTAGAGAACAGCAGCAACAAACAAACCTAATAAATTACTATGCAAAGCTAGCAATTGATGGAAAATAAATCCTCACATTTAGAAATGTTATCTAACATGAATATGGATGCATGTTTTATGGGATGATGACAGCACCTCTTTCAGAGAGAGAGAACTATAGTCCCTTGCTATATTTAACAGTTTTCGTACAGGGCTCTGATTGGATAGCACTAGATAAGGTACATTTCATAGATTATTGTATCATACACTCATGTATGTTTATTTCTAAATGAAGTGCTAGAAATCAAAAATAAATTCATGTATTGCTTTCTTCTCTCTAAATTAATAGTTAAGAAAGGGCTTATGTCTTGAAAAGGGCCATTATTTAAGGTGATACCCTTAAAACAAAAAGAAAGATTATATGAATAAGTGCTCTCTATATTTTTTCTAGATGAAAAAACAGAGAACTTCTAATATTTTCTTTTCAGATAACAAGAAAATCCTTAAAACATGAAGTCATATCCTAATTTTAGTCCACAGTTGTAAGCAAAATGCACTGAGTTCTGTATTTCAGAGTACAGACTACACACATTATAAAATCTATAATAAAAGCTCATTAAACAAATTATTTATATTTTAACTGAAATATAAATGAATTAACTATATGAACAAATTATTAGCAGTTTTCCTAGAAGACTAAGTCAGCATTCAGTGCCATACTTTTTTCTTAGCATATTGCAAAGATCACTGAGTGGCAGGACTGAATAATGACCCTGCTAATAACTAGCCTGGGGAACTTAAAGAAAATACTTAACCTCTGTGAAATGAAGAGATAAAAACAGATGTCTTCGAAGTTTTCATCCAGCTACATATTTATATAACTTCTTAAACATTTATTTATTTGAAAGGCAGAGCTACAGTGAGAGAGAGAGAGAGAGAGAGAGAAAGAGAGAGAATCTTCCATCTGCTGGTTGACACCCCAAATGGCAACAATGGCCAGAACAGGGCCAATCTGAAGCCAGGAGCCAGAAGCTACATCTGGGTCTCCCACATGGGTGCAGGGACCCAAGTATCTGGACCATCCCCTGCCATTTTCCCAGGCACATAAGCAGGGAGCTGGACTGGAAGTGAAGCAGCCAGGACTTAACCAGCGCCCACATGGGATGCTGGTACCTCAGGCACCTGCTGTATCACAGCACTAGCCCCTTATATGAAATTTTATGTTATAAGTAGAAAGAACTTACGTGGTCCGAAACACCTAAAATTTTAGATGTCAGAAATTTTAAAATGATTGTTCCACACCACCAAGCACAACCTTGAATAAGCTAGAAAATAAAACAGAAATCCAGTAATAAAAATTACAAATTACCCAGTTAAAATATCCAACTGTCACTCTAAACAATGTAGGAAAAATTTAATAACATGAAGTATATTAGTGAGGTACATGTACACGGTGAGAAATAAAAAAGGGTTGTTCCTTTAGAAAATTTTGTTTAATGGCAAAAAACTGAAATTGATGGCACTGCTATATAACACATAAAAACATTAGAATTATACATATCCTAAATATAAAGGAAATTACAAAAATTTATTTCTTTTCTATTTTTGTTATGAAAGAGATGGGTTATATGTATATTTTCAAACTTTATAGCCTCAACTGAAAATTAATTTTGCAAACACTGCTTTAAAAGTTCTACTATTGGGGCCAGCACTGTGTCATAGTAGGTCAAGCCATTGCCTGCAGTACCGGCAACCCATATGGGCTCCAGTTTGAGTTCGAGCTACTCCACTTCCAATTCAGCTCTGTGCTAAGGCCTGGGAAAGCAGTAGAAGATGGCCCAAGTCCTTGGGCCCTGCACCCGCATGGGAGACCCAGAGGAAACTCCTGGCTCCTGGCTTCAGATTGGCACAGCTCCAGCAGTTGTGACCATTTGGGAAGTGAACCAGCAGATTGAAGACACCTCTCTCTCTCCCTGCCTCTCTGTAACTCTGCCTTTCAAATAAATAAATAAATAAAAGTTCTATTCTTCTAATCAATCAGGAAAAATTTGAAAGTTGAAAACTTAGTTTTCTTTTTAAAAACAGGGATATGAACTAAAATTCATAAGGAGGCTTCTGTTCATTTTGGGTTTTGTTTTTATTTGTTTGCATAGTCTTGATTTTTAAAACGGAGGGGAGAGGATATGGACTTCTTGGCAGCCTGAGGAAAATCAGAGCAGTCTAAATCCACATCTTTTCTCATCATCATCCAGCAAGTAGAACAATTCAACCACATAACCACATATGTAGGAAACATACAACGATACTAACTTCAAATTACCTGAAAATAGAAAAGGAAACAACAAATACAGCAGAAGCATTTGTTCCTGACATTAGCTTTTGCACAGACTGAGAGGAGAGGCGCACAGCTATACAGAATAGAGAGGAAGGGAGTGTAGGACTGACAGTCAACGAAAGTCACCCTAGCAGGAGAAATATTCACCTTAGACGTTCATCCTGTAGATTGCAGAATGGCCCACAGAGCCAGGCATTAAAAGTGTTCAGGATAAAAGGTATCAATCTCAAAAAGGCTTTACTTCTGGAATGAAAGCTGGGTTGAAAAAAAAAAGAGGGGGGGGGGCGGTGCTGTGCCGTAGCAGGTAAAGCTGCTGCCTGCAGTGCTGGCATCCCATATGGGCGCCAGTTTGAGTCCTGGCTGCTCCACTTTTTTTTTTTTTTTTTTTTTTTGACAGGCAGAGTGGACACAGTGAGAGAGAGACAGAAAGGTCTTCATTTGCCGTTGGTTCACCCTCCAATGGCCGCCACAGCCGGCGCACTGCACTGATCCTAAGGCAGGAGCCAGGTGCTTCTCCTGGTCTCCCATGGGGTGCAGGACCCAAGGACTTGGGCCATCCTCCACTGCACTCCCTGGCCACAGCAGAGAGCTGGCCTGGAAGAGGGGCAACCGGGACAGAATCCGGCACCCCAACCGGGACTAGAACCCAGGGTGCCGGCGCCTCAGGCAGAGGATTAGCCTATTGAGCCAGCTCATGCACCACTTATGATCCAGCTGTTTTTTTTTTTTTTTTTTTTTGGACGGGCAGATTTTAGATAGTGAGAGAGAGAGACAGAAAGGTGTTCCTTCCGTTGGTACACCCCTCCCCCACACCCCCAAAAGGCTGTTACTAGGAGCCAGGTGCTTCCCCCTGGTACTTGGGCCATCCTCCACAGCCCTCCCGGGCCACACCAGAGAGCTGGACTGGAAGAGGAGAAACCACGACAGAACCAGCGCCCCGACCAGGACTAGAACCCAGTGTGCCGGCGCCGCAGGCGGAGGATTAGCTTAGTGAGCTGCGGCGCTGACCCTGATTCAGCTTTCTGCTACAGCCTGGGAAAGCAGTAGAAAATGGCTCATGTCATTGGGTCCCTGCACCCACATGGGAGACCCAGAAGAAGCTCCTGGCTCCTGACTTCATATGAGCCCAGCTCTGGCCACTGCAGCTATTTGGGGAGTGAACTAGAGGACAGAAGACGGTGCTAACTCTCGCTCTCTCTCTGCCTCTGCCACGCTGTAACTCTGCCTTTCAAATAAATAAATCTTTTTTTGTTGTTGTTTAAAAAAAAAGGCTTTTGGAAAATACATGATAAAAGAAACAGGAAACAAGGAATCCAGAGAACAAACCCGAATCAAACTAATTTAATGATGATCACTGCTGCCATCACACCTTCAAGTACATTGTTGCTTCCTCTGTCACACTCATTTAGCCAAAAAACCAACTCAGCAGGCTTTTTATTTCAGGTATTTTATTTTTAGTTCTATAATTCCCACATTGTCTATTTTTATTTTTAAGATTTATTTATTTGAAAGGCAGAGAGAGAAGGAGAAACAGAGAAAAAAAGATCATCCACCCTCTGGTTCACTCCCCAAATGGCCATAATAGCCAGGTCTGGGCCAGGCTAAAGCTAGGAGCCAGGTACTCCATCCAGTTCTCCTACATGGGTGGTAGTGGCCTAATTCCTTGTGCCATCATCCATTGCCTTCAAAGGCACATTAGCAGGAAGCTAGATCAGAAGCAGAGCAGTTGGGACCCAAAGTGGCACTCTGATATGGGGTGCTGGCATTGCAAGCAGCAGCATAACCTGCTGTGCCACAATGCTAGTCCCTGTACGTCTTTAAGTTTGTTTCTTTGATGAAATTTTCTGATATTTTCATTTGTTTCTAGAGTATTTGAAGTTTCTCACTGAAGTATTTTTATGTTGACTACTTTAAAATCCTTGTCAAGTAATCTCAATTCTACTCATCTCAGTATTGACATCTGTTGATCATTTTTTCTCATTGAAATGTTATTTTCTTTATTCTTGCTAGGATGAGTGGTTTTCTATTGTATCTAGTACAGTACAGGTATTATGTTAGTGAATGCAGACGGTCAACTTGTTTAGGTTTAGCATTCAAGTCCTGTCCAACTTTAAAATATTAAAATGACAGTTTCCAGAGCTCTTGAAATACTATTCTAGCTATTGCTATTTTAATTCACCTGGTATTTCTTGGTGCTCCATCTTAGACCCTATTCACAATGTCCATAGTGGAAGATTGCATTTTTTGAGTCCTGTTGCCAGGACTCAAAGGCAAAGAAGACATAGACTTAGAAGAAGCTGGGGCACCAAGCTCTTTGCTGGCCTGCTTACTCAGAGGGCTCCTGTTTCATGTTTGATCCCTGCTTATAACATAGGCAAGTGGGAGACAACAGATGACAGACTCACAGGATGGACAGCATTTCCCCAGGTTTACCTTGTGAGTCTCTCCCCTCACTTCTACCCTCTAATACTGGTAGATCAATGAAGCAAAAAAAAAAAAAAAAAAAAAAAAAGTGATTGACAGCTTCAACAAGCAGAGGAAACAATTTCTGATCTTGAAGAGAAAACTTCTGGAAAAAAAAATCAGACAAAAATAAAGAGAAAAGAATTTAAAAGAATGAATAAAGCATATGTAAAATACGCGACACCATTAAGCAACCAAATATTTGTATTATAAGGATTCCTGAAGGAGAAGAAAAGGTAATAGGCATTGAGAAACTACAAAATGAAATAACAGCTGAAAATTTCCCAAGTCTTGAAAGAGACATAGACATTCAGGTACAGGAAGCTTAAAAGACCCCTAACTGACTCAATTGAAAAAGGATATTTCAAAGGCATATTATAATCAAATTGTCAAAAGTTAAGGACAAGTATGGAATCCTAAAGACAATAAGAGAAAAACATCAAGTTACATAGAAAGGAAATCCAATTAGACTAACAGTAGACTTCTCAGTGGAAACCCTACAGGCCAGAAAGAGTGGGATGATGTATTCAAGGTCTTAAAGAAACTTCCAACCAAGAATATTATATCCAGTGAAGCTATTCTTTTTAAATGAAGGAGAAATAAGGTATTTCAGATATGAAAAAACTGAGAGAATTTACCACCCCTAAATCAGCATAACAGGAAATTCTGAAGGGAGTCCTACATTAGAAGTAATCATCATAAAAATACATGACACTACCAAATTCACAACAGAGCAGATACAATCAGTAATCAACCAACAAAGTGACAGGTATTAGTTTATATCTATCAATACTAACCCTTAATGTAAATGTATTAAATCCCCCAGCCAAGAGAGTTAGATTGACTGAATGGGTAAAAAACATAGATACACACAGACTAAAAGTGAAGGGCTGGAAAAATAAAATATTTATTAGGCAAATGGAAACAAGTAGGAGTAGCTATACTCAGATAAATCGGATAAATCAGATAAATCAGATTTTAAATTAAAAAAACTGTGAAAAGAGACAAAGGACATTATATACTGAAAAAAGATTGATTTAGCAAGAGATAGAATAATCATAAACATATATATATATATGTATATGTACCCAACACAAGGCCACCTAGATATTTACAGCAAATACTATGAGGCCTAAGGGAGAGAGAGACTCCAATATGGTAATAGTAGGGACCCTCAAAATCTCACTGTCACAAATGGGCAGAGCATCAACAAAAATGTACCAGAATTGAACCATAATGGTGAGCAAACGGACTTAACAGACATTTACAGAATATTTCACTAAACTACTACAGAATACACATTCTTCTCATGAGCACATGGAACATTCTCTAGTGTAGACTATATATTAGGCCACAAATCAAGTGTCAGTAACTTTAAAAATATTGAAATCATATCAAGTATTTTCACCAAAAGGGAACAAAACAAAAAATCAATAACAAGAAGAAAAAAAGAACAATCACAAATACACAGAAATTAAATACCATGCTACTGAATGACCAATGGGTTGCTGAAGAATTTAAAAAGAAAATCGAAACTTTCTTGAAATAAATGAAAATATATCATTTCAAAATCTGTGAAATAGAGCAAAATCAATACTAATGGGAAGTTTATAGTATTAAGTACTTACATTTAAAAACAGAAAGCTCTCAAATGATCTAATGATTCATTTTGAGGATTTAGAAAAACAAGAACAAACCAAACCCAAAACTAGCAGGTGAGAAATAATAAGGATCAGAGAAGAAAGAAATTGAAAAAAAAATACAAAAGCCAACAAAATAAAAATCTGTTTTTTGAGAAGATAAGCAAAATAGAAAAGCCTCTAGCCAGACTAAAAATGAAAAAAGAGAAAAAAAATTCAAATAAATAAAATCATATATGAAAAGGAGACAGTACAGCCAATAACACTGAAACCCGAAGGATTATAGGAAACTAGTATGAACAACTATATGCTAACAAATTGGAAAACCTTGAAAAAATTGATATATTCCTGAATACATAAAACTTACCAAGATTAAAGAAAGCAGATATAGAAAATATAAGCAGACCAGCAGCAAGACTGAGACAATAATTTAAAGTCTCCCATCAAGGAAAGTGCAGGACCTGACAGCTTTAAGATAGAATTCTATAAAACTTTTTAAAATTTTATTTATTTATTCGAAAGTAGTGTTATACACGTGGGGAGGGGGGAGAATCTTCCACCTCTGGTTCACTCCCCAAGTGGCCCCAAAAGCTGGGGCTGGGCCCAGCCAAAGCCAGGAACTTCATCTGGGTCTCCCACATGAGTGCAGGCGCCCAAGCATTTGGATCATCCAACATTGCCTTCCCAGGTGCATTATCAGTGAGCTGAATTGGAAACAGAGCAGCCAGAACATGAACCAGCACCCATAAGAAATTCTGGCATAGCAGTTGGAGGTATAACCTACCATGCTACAATGCCAGCCCCTCCCTAAAACATTTAAAGAGCAACTAACTGCAATATTTTTCAAACTGTTCCAAAATACTGAACAAGATGCAGCTCTGCCAAATTCTTTTTATAAGGCCAGCATCCCTCTAACACCAAGACTGAACAAAGGTACAACACAAAAAAGAAACTACAGACCTGTATTTTTGATGGAAATATTCTCAACCAACACTAGCAAACCAAATCCAACACTACATCAAAAATATCATACATTATGATCAAGTTCTGTATATACACTGAAGGAGCAGAGCAAACACTCCACTAAGCCACAGACGCATATTTCAAAGATAAAAGCCATCAGAGGGCAAAACCAACAAGTGTTTCCACAAACGCCTAAAAATAAATGTAGAAATCTAAGAAACATGAACAAGGAAGAAAATATGCATCCCCAAAAGAAACACATTTCAATATTTGAATGTGAAGATGGGGGCCAGCGCTGTGGCTTGGTGGGTAAAGCCTCCGCCTGGAGACTCAGCATCCCATATAGGCACCTGTTCGAGTGCTGGCTGCTCTACTTCCAATCCAGCTCTCTGCTGTAGCCTGGGAAAGCACTGGAAGATGGACCCATGCACTTATGCCATTTTCTGCTGCACTCCCAGGTGCAGCTACGGGGAGCTGAATCTGAAGTGGAGCAACTGAGACTTGAACTGGTGCCTATACGGGGTGCATATGTGTGATATTGCAACAAAAAGCTTTTTAAAATAAATTTTTAATAACAATATACTACTTTAGTTTTAATTATCTGTGATTATTTTGAAATTTATTATATATGAGTGAGATTGGCATATTTTCATTTGATTTTTATTTATAGCCCTTGCCTCTATTCCTGCTGAGCTATGGTCTCTCTATTTTTTACTTGTTGAACTCTTTTATTTAGTGAAGCATTAAGCCTTTGACTAATGTAAATTAAAAATGTTATCTCAAAAAATTTAAAAGGATGAAAAACAAAAAATGAGATTCTAAATTTTAAAATATTACAGTTTTAAATATATTATCTGTACTCAGTTTATAAAAATAAGTAGAGTTTAGATAAAATATATTAAAAATAGTTGTATCTTACCCAATAGTTGAGTTCAGACACTCCCAATCTTTGAATTTTACATCTATGTTGAATTATTGCCTAAAATGCATATGGCAGAAAATGAAACAAAATTAACATTTATGTCTTACAAGTATATTAAAGGTACATTTAAAAATCACTCAGTCACCATTCTTTCATCTCTGCTATCATCAGCCAGTTTCTACCTACATTGTTGACTTTAAATTTTGGACATGGCAACTTCCCTCAGGTTGAGAGTTCAAGGCTTTCTATACCAAAAGTTGTCTCTTCAATCAAGGTAATTCCTCACTGAGTTACTGTGGATGTTTTCTGCAGAGTGAACGCCTTTAAAACTGTAGATGCTAGTGTGGAAGGCATCTCTACAAGTGCACAAGGGTAATCAAAAAGTTTATGGAAAATGCATGTTATGAAAGAAGTAATATATTGTTTCAAATTTCTTTTGCACCAAAAGACTTAAATTTTAATTTTATTTTCCATGAACTTTCTGAAGTATATTTCCTGCAAAATTAGTGTGTTAAACTGAAGTCAAAATCCTTTCTAAATTACCAAATATCTACAAATATTTTAAAAATGTATCATTAACTTATGAAAAAGACAAAGAAAGGTAATTTAAGAAAACATTAAAATATTAATTAGGAGAAAACCCATGACAGTCTTTAAAAAGACTTGTAGGACAAGGTTTCAATTATGGGCTCATATTACAAGAGGAGGGCAGCAGAAGAGGCCTTGGGTCTTTGTAAGGTAAGAAGCTAGAAATGAGACTCAGGAATTAATTCAGATTCCTCAAAATCTACACCTTTAGTGATATGAACTGGGCACTTGTGTAAGGACAAAATACATCTGTTGAGGCTCCAATCCCAAATCTGGGAGGATGAACCCTCACGAACGGAATAGTACTGCCTGTATAAGAAGAGTAATGAGAGAGACTCTCTCTCCTGCCATGAGAAAATACAGTGAAAATGACTTGTCTACAAACTGGGAAGGAGCCCTAAGGAACCAAATTGGCTGGCACCTTGACCTTGGACTTCCGCCTCCAAAACTGTGAGAAAAAAATCTCTGATGCTTATGGCACCCACTCCATAGTATGTTTGTCATGGCATCCCCAAATGCTAATATATTGCAAACACAGTAGACAAGGAACATGTTAAGATACATCTGGAGGATCCAAGGGATGATTCTACAGCAAGGAATTCTCCTCATGTGCAGTGATCTAGTTCTTCAACAGATGTATTTTGTAGGGAAAATATAAAAAAGCAATTTAAGTGATGAAACTATAAAGGAATGCTAGGAAGTGCTTACCCTATTCAAGACAGTTAATACTGCCTTAAGACAGTGCTACAGAATTATGAGCAGGACGGGCCATGTGGAGGGCTTTAAGAGTGCCTGGGAAAGGCTAATTTTGACTTCATGCTAGTTTAAGGATGTTAGCCAAATAACAACTTTTTAGTCAGTACTTATCAGTACTAGTCAAAACTAAATCAGCACTTAAAATATTTCTTTTATATAGTTTTCTGTATCCGTGCTATATTTCAAAGTAAAATTTTTCATAAAATGGTGGACGAGCACACTATTCAGAACTCTCCACTTAGTAACTTAGTAATGCAGGAAAAATTGACAATATGTTGAAAGGAACGAGTAATATGTTTGGGGGAAGAGAAAAATATGAGGGATTAATTACTATGATGCAACAGGATGTAGGAAGCAAAAATGTTAAAATATAGACAATACCGAAAGATCTAATCTGCATCACACATGGAAAAGTGCTGTGTTTCGGCATTACTGGGGTTGATATCATTTCTGATCAGTGTGGAAGTAGGGGGTAGTGGAGAACATTCCAGGTTCTGACTTGGGGGTACAAGGAGTGTGATTACAAAATAATAAAACTGACTTACTAAACTACCATTCTTAATACATATCCAAATGAGTGTCATCCCATGAAAGTCATGTGAGTAGACTATATACTCATTCCAGTTATTTTGCCATGCTCAAAACACTTTAGAACTCTACTTTTTAAGCTGCCTTCAGAGATAATTTAGTTATCTCTGAAGAAAATCATTATTATTAATTATCATGCTATTTTATTTAATCTTTTAAGATTTATTTATTGGAAATTCAGTTACAGAGAAAGGAGACATACACACACATAGAGAAAGAGAGAGAGAAAGGGAGATGCCCTCCCGGGCCACAGCAGAGAGCTGGACTGGAAGAGGAGCAACCAGGACAGAATCCAGCACCCCAATCGAGACTAGAACCCGGGGTGCCAGTGCCACAGGCAGAGAATTAGCCTAGTGAGCCGCGGCACCGGCTGAGATCATACTCTTTAAAAATTGAGAGGTAGACAATAGACAAAACTCGAATGCACTGGCTCACTCCTCAAATGCCCACAAAGGTTGAAGTTGGAGCAGAGAGTCAGACATAATCCAGATTTCTCACGTATGAGGCAGAAAACCAACTCTATTCAGTTATTACCACTGCCCCCCAAAGTCTACACTGGCAGGAAGGTGCAGTCAGGAGTTAAGAGTTGGAAACTGAATTCAGGCAGCTCTGATGTGGGATGTAGGTATCTTAAACGTTAGTTTAAATGTTTATTCCCACATCATATTTTAATCCGTATTTGTATCACCCAGCCCAATTGCCCCCTCTATTCATAGGAGTTTGCTTATTTCCAAAAATCTAACATACTTTTGAAGAATGAGGACTTAGGGACCAGTTCTGTGGCTCAGCAGGTTAAGCTGTCACCTGTGATGCCAGCACCCCATACAGGCACCAGTTCAAGTCTCAGCTGCTCCACTTCAGATCCAGCTCCCCACAGTTGCACCTGGGAATGCAGCAGAAAATGGCGCAAGTGCTTGGGTCCCTGGCACCCATGTGGGTGACCCAGATGGAATTCCAGGCTCTTGGCTTCAACCTGGTCCAGTTCAAGCTGTTGCAGCCATTTGGGGAGTAAAGCCACAGATGGAAGAGATATCCCTCTCTCCGTCTCTCTCTGTCTCTCTCTGTCTCTCTCTCTTTCTCTCTGTAATTCTGCCTTTCAAATAAATAAACAAATAGATCTTAACAAAAGAAAGACGAAGGCTTTGAGGATATTCAAAAGAATGAAACACAATCTGTGAAGGCAATTCACAGGATTCCCAAATATGTTTTGGGATATATTTTAAACCAGTTCTATTACCTTATGATCATTTAAAACTATTTAATTGGCCACTTCCTTAAAAATGAGGATTTTTGGGGCCGTGGCTGAGGCGTAGCAGGTTAAGGCCACCGCCTGCAGTGCTGGCATCTCAAATGGACGCCAGTTCAAGTACCAGCTGTTCCACTTCCAGCTGAGCTCTCTGCTATGGCCTGGGGAAGCAGTGGAAGATGGCCCCAGTCCTTGGGACCCTGCACCTGTGTGGGAGACCCAAAGGAAGCTCCTGGCTCCTGGCTTCGGATCAGCACCACTCTGGCCGTTGCTGCCAATTGCGGGGTGAACCAGCAGAAGGAACACCTCTCTCTCTCTCTTTGCCTCTCCTTCTCTCTCAGTGTAACTCTGACTTTCAAATAAAATAAATAAATCTTTTTTTAAGAAAAGAGGATTCTGTACTGTATTATTTTTCAAAGATGAGATAGAAAAAGGCTTTATTTGGGTAAACCTCTTTCATATGAATGACAATCAGGAGAGGGTCCAATTTCCTCTCCTACACTTGCAGTAGCCAGGCAAACCCACTATTTGACAGGTTAAAAAAAATCTTCGTAAGCTCAACACTTACCCACGTCGTTAACAAAGATGAAGAATAATAAGAAGATAAATACATGGGATTTCCAAACATCAGAATGAAACAAAGGAGAACTGAGATCTGAAAAGTGAAAAATGTATATAAATATTTTATAGTAATTATATATATATAGTATAATGTTTACTTTGGAGGCATACAGCCAATTCCAGTACAAATTTCATTTGCCTACAGAAAACTAATGGATTTCAGTAAAATAATAGAATTGCAAGTCACTGCCAGGTGCTAAGTATTAAAATTTAAGACAATAATTCCATAAAACAAAAGTCAATGTTTTTCTCCATCTACTATTTGGATAGCAAAAAATAATAAAAAATAATTATCGTTTCTATTGTTTCAATAATAGAATAATATAGTAAGAAAGACTTAGTTTTAAACATTAGTTTCTATTATATTTTTATTGTATTACTGCAGATTTTTATCACTTAGGAAGTTTCACTTTATTATGTTTTTAAGGAATAAGAGTGGGGGAACTAAGACAAAAACAAAAATGCAACAACATACAATTTCAGTGACAGCATCATATTCATGCAAAGTGTTAATAAAATAAAATATTGGAGGAAAATGGCAGTTTCAAGAGTCATGTAAGAATAAAACATAGAATAATGAAAAGCTTTTGAGCACACAATACATCTACACTCCAGTTGAAAGCATAATTTGCTTCAATATGGTCTCTACTATACATTTCCATATTTCTGTCTGTATATCATCAATGCCATATGTATTAAGTACTGCCAAAGAGCAAGTACCCCATAAATCAGTTGTGTTTTATAAACCCTGGAAACTTATTTTAATAGTTCACTTAAAGATATTAACAACATTACCATGTTCATATAAATGATCTTCTGAAATTTGTTTGGTTCAATGTACCCCACAACATACATGGGAAATAATGAAGCTATCTGAAATGAAAATAGAAAAAAGCTAAAGTGAAAACAGTTGTAGAAAACAAATACTTGACCAATCACAGCCAAAGTGAATTTAAGAGTTACACTAGTATTCATAATAACGGTGAGCAAAGTAATTAATACCAACCTTCCCACTGAGAATTAGAATAGCTAGAAAAATATAAACACAAATAAGTGAAAACACATGTATGAAAGACACAGGGTATTAACAAGGCAAATAAGGAATTATGAAGATAAAACCGGGAGAAGGAGAGGGAGAGGGAGAGAAATCCGCACTGATGAGCATGACAATCTGAGTCACTGTTCTCTGTGCCAGTGAGGAGGCAGATGCCTGCCGGATGAGACAGGAGAAACCAGTGAGCCAAGCAGCCTTGCAACAGACTCAGCAGTTGGGGCACCCCCGTGAGGGGATGAAAGTGAACCAGAAATCAAGCAACCTACAGAAAGACCGAAACCCACTTTTGAAATACCCTAATCTAATTGCAAGAAGGTGATTTCAAGGTTGTTTTGACTTTACTTACTTGCTAAAAACAAATTTAATCTTTTCTGGAGAACATTAATACCAAGTTAGTTTCAGATTCTATCTGCACCTTGTCAAAAATAACCACACTTTGGAGGAGGAGATAAGACTTTATCACTAAGACAATAGAACCAAGTCACACAGAATCTGGATCACAGATCATCAAACTTGGTATGTGAAAAACCAAGGGTAACTGCTTTATGGGTCAGGTCATGCCTCTGTTGTATGTTCTTTTTTAAAAAAAAAAAAACTCTTAGAAATGTAAAATCCATTCTTAATTGGCAGAACACTCAAAAACATGCCTGGCATCATCATAAGTTAAACTATACTTGACAGATTCAAGGACATAACACAATTGAAAATTCCAGGAGAGCAGTATAAACTATAAAAAAAAAGACTGAAATTTTATAAATATTATAATAACCAATATTAAGAACAAATATGAGTTTAAAAGTAGGTTAACATAGACAAAGAAGTGATGAACCAGAAGACATGTCAGAAGAAAATATCCAGAAGAAAGCACAAATTGTAAAACAGATGAAAATGTATGAAAGGACAAAGAGGTATTAGAGCACACAGTGCAGAGACCTAACATCTTTTTTTTTTTTAACTTTTATTTAATGAACATAAATTTCCAAAGTACATCTTATGGATTACAATGGCTCCCCGCCCCATAACTTCCCTCCCATCCACAACCCTCCCCTTATCCACTCCCTCTCCCCTTCCATTCATATCAAGATTCATTTTCAATTCTCTTTATATACAGAAGATCAGTTTAGCATATATTAAGTAAAGATTTCAACAGTTTGCACCCACATAGAAACACAAAGTGAAAAATACTGTTTGAGTACTAGTTATAGCATTAAATCACAATGTACAGCACATTAAGGACAGAAATCCTACATGAGGAGTAAGTGCACAGTGACTCCTGTTGTTGACTTAACAAATTGACACTCTTGTTTATGGCATCAGTAATCACCCTAGGCTCTTGTCATGAGTTGCCAAGGCTATGGAAGCCTTTTGAGTTCACTGACTCTGATCATATTTAGACAAGGTCGTAGTCAGAGTGGAAGTTCTCTCCTCCCTTCAGAGAAAGAGACCTAACATCTTACTTTACATATCAAGAAGAGAAGCAGGAACGAGCTGGAAGCTATATTTAAAGGTACTATGGGGGCTGGCGCTGTGGTGCAGTGGGTAAAGCTGCCACCTGCAGTGCCGGCATCCCATATGGGCGCCAGTTCGAGTCCCCGCTGCTCCAAGTTCCGATCCAGCTCTCTGCTGTGGTCTGGGAAAGTAGAAGATGGCTCAAGTCCTTGGGCCCCTGCACCCGTGGGGGAAACCCGGAGGAAGCTCCTGGCTGCTGGCTTTGGATCGGCCCAGCTCCAGCCTTTGCGGCCAACTGGGGAGCCAATCAGCAGATGGAAGACCTCTCTTTCTCTCTCTGCCTCTCCTTCTCTCTGTGTAACTCTGATTTTCAAATAAATAAATCTTTAAAATAAGTAAATAAATAAATAAAATAAAGGTACTACAGCCCAGAACTTCCCAAACTTTGTAAACAAAATCAAGCATTGAGTCATGAAGTATCCTATCACATCATATCCTTCCAAAGAGAAATAAGTTTTCAAAAACCACACAGGCATATCAGAGTAGAAATTGTACAAAACCAATGGCAAAGAGAAAACTCTAAAAAGCAGATGGAGACAACCAGCTGACTTTAAGACTTAATATAAAGTTAAACTAATCAAGACAGCATGGTATCAGAGAAAATAGTGAAACTGATCAATGGAACAAAATATAGGACCCAGAAGCAAATCCACACAAGCACAGGCAGCTGAGCTCTGACAGGGAGCAAAGGCAAGTCAATGCAGAAAGGACTATCTTGTCAGCAAACAATGCTGGTAGTGGATATCCACATGCATGATGATGAATCTAGACACAGCCTTATGCCGAAACCAACTAAAAATGGATCTGAGACCTGAAAGGAAAAGCTACAATTATAAAACTTCAAAAAGATAGTAAAAGAGAGGGGCCAGTGCTGTGGCACAGTGGGTAAAGCTGCCGCCTGCAGTGCCGGCATCCCATATGAGCTCCAGTTCAAGTTCCAGAAGCTGCACTTATTTATTTATTTATTTTGACAGGCAGAGTGGACAGTGAGAGAGAGAGACTGAGAGAAAGGTCTTCCTTTACTGTTGGTTCACCCCACAATGGCCGCCACGGCCAGTGCGCAGCAGCCGGTGCATTGTTCTGACCCGAAGGCAGGAGCCAGGTGCTTCTCCTGGTCTCCCATGGGGTGCAGGGCCCAAACACTTGGGCCATCCTCCACTGCACTCCTGGGCCACAGCAGAGAGCTGGCCTAGAAGAGGGGTAACCGGGACAGAATCCAGTGTGCCGGCGCCGCAGGTGGAGGATTAGCCTAGTGAGCTGCGGCACTGGCCGATGCTGCACTTCTGATCCAGCTCTCTGCTATGGCCTGGGAAAGCAGTGGAAGATGGCACAAGTCCCTGGGCCCTTGCACCTGTGTGGGGGACCCAGAAGAAGCTCCTGGCTCCTGGCTTTGGATCAGTGCAACTCCAGCTGTTGATACCATTTGGGGAGTGAACCAGTGGACAGAAGACCCTTCTCTCTGTCTCTCCCTCTCACTGTCTGTAACTCTACCTCTCAAATAAATAAAATCTTAAGGAGGTTCCAAGATGGCAGAATAGGGAGGGAGGGCGCTTACTGATAGTCCGCGAGAAGAAAGATTAATAAAAGTGGAGAAAGTGTAGTCTCAGGGAAGAGTCAGGGAAAAAACAGCAGAGGAAACTCTTCCGTAATTAGAGGGACACGGTGGACCTATGTGGAGGGCACAGGTGCCCACGGCTCGGGACTCTAGCTGCTGAGAGCCTCCACAACAGCACTGGAAGGTGAGCTCTCTGCTATGGCCTGGGAAAGCAGTGGAAGATGGGCAGAGTCCTCGGGCCCTGCACCCGCGTGGGAGACTGGAAGAAGCTCCTGGTTCCATAAGGCACAGCTCCAGTTGTTGTGGCCATCTTGGGAGTGAACCAACAGGCAGAAGACCTCTCTCTTTCTCTCTCTCTGCCTCACCTTCTCTTTGTAACTCTGACTTTCAAGTAAATAAATAAATTTTTTTAAAAAAGGAAATTAAAAATACATATTTAAAAAAACTACTGTTTTAGTTCATAAAAAATAAAATAAAAAGCTATGAAACATTATTTAGACAAATTAATCAAGATCTAAAATTAGTACATATCATGCTCTTTGGCTGGAAGACACAATATTTTAAAGATGACAGATTTTGTATTTAATGAAATGACACTCATCAGATTGAAAAGGAAAGGAAAATACATGGGAACCCTTGATGCTGCATCTAAATTTTGGGAGAAATAGGTTGAAGATATAGGTTTTAAGGGGCATTGGGAGAAAAAATACAGATGTTTCTTACTTGTTTATGTTTAGTCAAGTCATTTCATCAAATAGCGAAAGATACTAAAAATAAGTTCATAAGTTCACCTTGTGATGAAAATTAAAATTGCCATTAATTATGAGAAGCCTATCATATGGATTCTTATGTAGGACAGCAATTAGATCATAGAATAGATTTAATGAATTATAATTTAACATAAGATACACAACTGTTCTTCAAATGTCTATTTCTTTTTTTTTGTGGTTTAGAATTTTTTTTAACTTTTATTTAGTAAATATAAATTTCCAAAGTACAGTTTATGGATTACAATGGCTTCCTCCCCATAACTTCCCTCCCACTCGCACCCCTCCCATCTTCTGCTCCCTCTCCCATTCCATTCACATCAAGATTCATTTTCAATTACCTTTATATACAGAAGATCAGTTTAGTATATATTAAGTAAAGATTTCATCAGTTTGCACCCACACAGAAACACAAAGTGTAAAATACTGTTTCAGTACTAGTTATAGCATTACTTCACATTGGACAACACATTAAGGACAGATCCCACATGAGAAGTTAGTACACAGTGACTCCTGTTGTTGACTTAACAATTTGACACTCTTGTTTATGGCGTCAGTAATCTCCCTAGGCTCTAGTCATGAGTTGCCAAGGCTATGGAAGCCTTTTGAGTTTGCCGACGTCAATCTTATTCCGACAGGGTCACAGGCAAAGTGGAAGTTCTCTCCTCCCTTCAGAGAAAGGTACCTCCTTCTTTGATGGCCGTGTTCTTTCCACTGGGATCTAACTTGCAGAGATCTTTCATTTAGGTCTTCTTCTTCTTTTTTTTTTTTTCCAGAGTGTCTTGGCTTTCCATGCCTAAAATACCCTCATGGGCTCTTCAGCCAGATATGAATGCCTTAAGGGCTGATTCTGAGGCCAGAGTGTTGTTTAGGACATCTGCCATTCTATGAGTCTGCTGTGTATCCCACTTCCCATGTTGGATTGTTCTCTCCCTTTTTGATTCTATTAGTTAGTTTTAGCAGACGCTAGTCTTGTTTGTGTGATCCC